GTACCCAAACTGAATTTGTATCATTTTCTTCACACAACTAGAGCTTTCTTTTGCTGGTATTTAATTACCACTGGGGGTTTTTTGCTAAATTAACAAAAAAAAGACCAAAAATTTGAAACAAAACACATTTTTCTTTATTTCTGTTATAAAAGTTTGCAAATAAGTAATTGTTCTTCATAAATTTAGGCCGAGATGTATTCTGCTACATTTATTTGGTGAAAACAATGCCCTCCCAGATCTACGAGAGTCCCATCCGGCCGTCATTTACTACAGGCCGGGCAGGAAGTGGGGTAAAGCTCTTAGAAGCTGTTATCAGCATTGTTTTTCTGCTCCTAGAAGCTAAATAATGTTATCCTATGTGTCCATGCACACTGCTTTAGGCTAGTAGCATTTTTCAAGCTTCAGTGTTTAGAAGCAGAAAAAAAATTGTTTTTGTAGAGTTTTTGGGCACGTTTGTCTGGCAGAAAAAACGCTAAAAACTCCTAACAGCTTTTTTCTAGCTTTTTAATTTTTTTTCCTACATTTAATGTATAAAAACGAATAAAACGCTGATGCTCCTAAATGCTCTTAAAATACTACTGCATGCACACTAGTGCTTTTTAAAAAAAAAACCAGAAAAAAAAAAAGGCTGGGTAAAAAATGCTGGTTATAGCATTTTTTTTAGTGTTATAGTACAGTCTGCTGGAAAAAATGCTCCAAAAAACTCTACAAAAGCAATTTTTAGCATTGGAGTTTTATTAGCGTTTGTACAGTACATGTAGAAAAAAGCTAGACAAAAGCTGTTAGAAGCATTTTAGTAGCATTTAGTAGCCTTTAGAAGCATTTAGCTTTTTTCTGCTAGAAAAATGCTCCATAAAAAACTCTACAAAAACAATTTTTTTTTCCTGCTCCTAGCCGCTGAAATGTAAAAAATGCTACTAGCCTAAAGCAGTGTGCATGGACACATAGGATAACACAATGCAGCTTCTAGGAGCAGAAAAACAAATGCTGATAACAGCTTCTAGGAGCAGAAATAAAAACACTATTGTGCATGGAGCCTAAAACGCTACTAAAAAATGCTATTACCAGCATTTTTTACCCAGAATTTTTTCCATTTTTGTAGCTTAAAAAAAAAAACACTAGTGTGCATGGAGCCTAAGGGCTCTTTCACATGAACGTTGGGTCTGCCTGCCCGTTTTTTCAAGCGGACCCGATGGAACCTTCATTCTCCTCTATGGAGCAGAGGGTATAAATGGACATGTGTCTGATTACACCCGCCGATATCCGATCTGATCCGCCAAAAAGGGACAGATGAGGATCCAATTCCCCTTCCATCTGTCAGATCGGATCAGATGAAAACGGACCATTTTCATCCGACCGTCCATTGAGGGGAGCGAGCAGCTCTGTTTGCTCTGCAGTAGTGGAGGGGACACAGAGCTGTCATCCGGTTGCTCAGAGGGGATCAGTGGAGATATCTCCCGCTGAGCAAGCCGATCCGCTAATCGGGTCCCCACCGTGTGAGAGAGCCCTAAGTGTGTCTATGATGTTTAGTGACACCTTCTCTTGGTAGGAAATAGATGAGCAAAATGCACCAAAAATGCACTGGAACACACATGTCCCTATTTACATTGAAGAATAAATAGAGAGGGGAAAAAATGAACCAGAAAGCATCAAAAACGCACCGGAAGGCGTCAAGAATGCACCGGTATGAACTAAAAACACATCAAAAACACACATGCAGAGACGCATCTGGAACGCATCCGGACTGCATTTCTATAGCGTGAAACGGCCCTCAGGCTTTTCTCTGCCCAATCCTCTCCTGAATACACTGGTGGTGGGTTTTTTTTTTCAGCCTCCAAAAACATATACGCCCTTAAACACCGATGTGTGCACGGCCACATAGGATAACATAGAGGTGCATTCAGAGGCTGGAAAAGTCAAATGCCTGTAAAAGTGACATCTTGTATGTCCTGTGTGTGTGAAGACTAAAGTCAGATTCAGTTGGTTCCTTACAGCTTAGAAACACCTGCTGTGGTATTTACCACCGCTAAAAGACAGGTCCCGGGACTGCTACTGTTAGTGAACAAAGTAACCAGGGATGTTGGGGTTCAGGAGGGTGAACTAGACAAATCTGGCCATTATTTTGTCACCAAGCCCCAGACAGGCTTTGTTCAGGTCCAATTCAAGATTGACCTGAACATATCCCTACCCTGGAGCCAGTACCTACCAAACCCATCCCTGTGTGTACATGTCTCTACTCACTGATAGTCCCTACCTTATCCCTATAGGACATAAAATAATGGACTGATACTGCCATCTACTGGTGGTCTTTGAGGTTTGTTTTTATTTTGAAGTTACAAGAATATGCCAGTACATATTTTTCCCAGTTTGGTGTTAAGAATCATGCACACTGGGCTTAAAAAATGTGGTTTATCCACTTGGTGACCGTATCATGAGGATGTACAGGTGCAAAGTGACCTCTCTGCACTGGATCATGTACATGATATGCACTGATACATGATATAGCTCTTTTGGGTAGGGGGCACACACACCGCCTCGGCTGTGCTGTGATTAGTTACAGCACATGCCTATCAGTGGGTCTGACTGATGGATGGGACCCACCAATTGGCAAAATGGATGACAGGACAGAGCTCTGTGATTTTAAACAACACAGAGCTCTATACTTACAGCAGGGATGTGCCGGATTTTATTTCCCTGAAAAACAGGGAGTAAAAACTGGCACATTTCTGACAATGTTTGACCATTCTTCCAGAAGCGTATTTGTGAGGTCAGGCACTGATGTTGGATGAGAAGGCCTGGCTCACAGTCTCCGCTCTGATTCATCCCAAACTTGTTCTATCGGGTTGAGGTCAGGACACTGTGCAGGCCAGTCAAGTTCCTCCACCCCAAACTCACTCATCATTGTCTTTATGGACTTTCCTTTGTAAAATCATCACACAGTACACACACTAAACATTGTTAGGCACACATTTAACCCCTTGATCACCCTAGATGTTAATCCCTATTGTCAGGAATGGACTTGCCAATAACGGTGGGACTCACCTGCCTTGTGGGCTGCAGTACCAGAGCTGGCCAGCGGGTGCTCTCAGCAATCAGAGACTCACCCCTGCAGTCAGCCAAAACACCTGAAGCTGATTGCAGGGGTTGTATTTAAGGAATGGCCAGACTCACAGTCAGGGCCTTGGTGTGTGTTTTTCCATGGGCCCCTGTATCTTGTAACCTGCATTCCCGTTCCTGGTCCTGTTCCTGTTTCTGCCTGACTTGTTGCCGACCCTGCCTGATCCTGACCTCTGCTGACTTCTCCTGTTTGATCCCTGGCTTGTGACCCTGACCATTCTCTCCGCCTTGGTTTGGGTTTGTTTCACCTTGTTGTATGTATTTGTGTTAGCTTGGGGTTTGGTGCACTGCGTTTATATTTGTATTGTTAGTCTCAATAAATTATAGTAAATAATATATCTGAAGCCTACGTTTCCCTGTGTCAGTCCACACACTTCTGGTCATACCCGCATCACTGACAGCTATCCAGCCAGCGTCATTAGTACAGTGTCAGTGTATATTAGCACTCATCTCTGTATTAGTGTCACTGGAGATGTCAATGGCAGTTAGTTCCCACAAAGTGTCAGTTAGCATCAGATTGCCCTCCATACTATCACTGTCCAGCTATAGGTCGCTTATTGCCGCCATTACTAGTATAAAATATAAATTCAAATTTCAGTATATATACCATAGTTTGTAGACACAAAAACTTTCACGCAAACCAATTAATATACACTTATTGGAATTTTTTTTTACCAAAAATATGTAACAGAATACATTTTGGTCTAAATTTATGAAGAAATTTGATTTCATACATTTTTTATTGGATATGTTATATCGCAGAAAGTAAAACATATTGGCTTTTTTAAAAAAAATTTCCTGTCTTTTTTCATTTATATAATAAAAAGGATAAGAAAAAACCCAGTGGTGATCAAATACCACCAGAAAAAAGCTCTGTGTAAAAAAATGATATCCATTGTGTTTGCAGACAGTGTTGCACAAGCAAGCAATTTTCAGTTAAAGTAGCGCAGTGCCAAACAGTTTAAAAAAAAAATAGCCTGCTCAGGAGGGTGTAAAATCTTCTGGATGGTAAGTGATTATACAGATAGTTAGTGTCTTGTTTTGTTTTTTTTGCACCTGTAAATACACCCTTTTTTAGGCTATGTGGCCATGCACACATAGGCATTCACAGGCATATTTGAAGAGCAGCGTTTACAGGCAGAAAAATGCACCAAATGTATATTCTGAGAGGAGTTTATGGGAATAATTCACACACGTAGTGTATGTGTATTCCACGTGTGGGAACGTGTATTCATAGATTAATATTCTGGCCAGTAGAATGTATTTACACTCAAAGTTTTACGTGTATAAACGCTCAAACTTCTCTGGCAAAAAAAAATCCAGCATACTTTGAACATAAACGCATATACTAGTGATAATAAAAATTGTGAATAAACGCAAGTGCTTACTATGGTGAATACAAAATATAAATAAATAAGTATGATATGAATACTTTAGCCGCTAGTGCACACAACCCATGTCTCAGTGGGCTAAATAATGAATAATATCAATGAAAATGTGCTGCACTACATATACAAAAATACACAACACCTATAAAATATATATACGTAGAACAGTGATATCAAAAAACAGAAATTATGTGACTCAAAAAAAATTTACTAAATTAATATTCCAAAAAAAAAAAATTAATTAAAATCCAATAATTTATGTGTTCTCCTGTAACCCCTCCTTGAGGTAATGACCACCGTGTGCATCTGTCACAGAATTCCAGTGCAAACCATCCTCCACCATAAATCTGCTCACCCCCAGCAGTGTGACCTCACACTATACAATGTTTTGGTCTAACTGAACTTTTGGTCCCAAATGTATGGACTCTGAAGATCAAATTGCTGAATAATAGCTCCAAAAGATTCTCCCTCCAGATAACCGCCTCTGGCTCGCATCCACCATTTTGGCCTGTGCGCGCTCCCTGTGCATGCTGTATGGGACCCTTGTGTGAGGTCCCAATCATGTGATCACTGATTGACCAATCAGTGATCACATGAACAGTAGTAAACAAGATGTCACTTCTGACATCATTGCTTACTACTAATGAAATCTGTGAATGATCACAGAGGTCACATGGTACAAGGCTATTGACAACAGCCTTGTACCATGTGACAAGCTGTGACCAATCAGTATTTCACAATGGCTGCAAGAATGCAGCCAGAAAATAGAAATGATTGCTTTTACAGCCTTCTGTACAATGTAATCAGTGTAAACAAAAAAAAATATTCATCACCCCCCACAAGTAGTACAGTGTCATTATGGTGACACTGTACTGCTAGGGTGACAGTATGTTAAAAAAAAAACATAAATAATAATATAAGAAAATAAAATAAAAATTAAAAAAACATTTTTTAAATTATAATTTTTGGTTATAAACTAATTTGGGTTTTTTTTTACTAAAAAGATAATTTAATAAATTCGGCCAAGATTTATGAAGAAAGATTATTTATTTGTAAAATTTTATAAGTAAAACACTTTTTTCAAAATGTTTTGAACTTTATGGTTATATAGCAAAAAAAAAAATCCCAGTGGTGAATAAATACCACCAAAATAGAGTTTTATCTGTCTCAAAAAAATGCTAAAAAATGAATATGGGTGCAGTGTTGCATGACCACGCAATTGTCATTCAAAGTGTGACAGCGCTGAAAATTGGCCTGGGCAGGAAGGGGGTAAAAGTGTCCGGAATTGAAGTGGTTAAAAACTTTTATTGCACATTAAACATAAGTAATGCACTCACATTCCGGAGGTCCATATCTGCACCATGTATGGTGAACATCCAGTAATGCACTAATTAGGCACAAGATGGCAGTATCATACCCAGCAGCATAGAACCAGTCCAGGCTCCAAACTGTCACTATACAAAGTATACTGGAAGGCAATGCAGGGCCCTGTGTATAACTGCAACTGCCTACAAATATGACAATCCTGGAGAGATTACTGCGATAGCGGTAGTAGTAATCCACACATCGCTCCAGGATTGTGGTGAGGTGAGCAGATTTATGGTGGAGGATGGTTTGCACTGGAATTCTGTGACAGATGCACACGGTGGTCGTTATCTCAAGGAGGGGTCACAGGAGAACACATAAATAATTGGACTTTAATTATTAATTGTTTTGGAATATTAATTTCATTAATTTTTTTTGAGTCTCATCATTTCTGTGTTTTGATATCACTGTTCTACGTATATATATTTTATAGGTATTGTGCATTTTTGTATATGTAGTGCAGCATATTTTCATTGATATTATTCATAAACTCATATGCCCATGTTTATGAGGTCTTGTAATTACTTGTAAATATTGCTTATGTTAAATGCAAACCAGTGGGAGATGTTGTCCTGGCTCCAGACATGAAGGAAAAATTGAAAAGCAGAAGTAAATGCTTTAATCACCACAACGCTCCTGTGGATCATAAAATCTTATTGATGAAGCTCTGACAGTATCACATTTCAGGAACAGGGGATAGAGAGAGAAAAGTGTTCAGACACAGAGTTCAGTCTTATGGCCTCTTTCAGATGGGTGACCAAAGAGCGGAAAAAACAGGTGGTTGACCTATGGTTATACCACCCCCAATTGCCCACATAAATTCTATCATTACAACCAGTTGGGGCTGCACACATGGCGTAGTCCTAATGCATTGCTTTGTGACTGTGGCAATTTTTTTTAACTTGACTAGCAGAGTGTGACAGGTAGCACCTCTTGTCAAGAATGCCCATTAAAGACAAAGGAAGTGTGCCACAACCACAAGCCAAGCATTTGTGTAGTACAAAATCCCCCTTAGGTAAAAAAAAAAAAACAAAAAAGACATTCAGAGGTGGCAGGATTGCCCCCAGAATGCCCGGCAGCAATGAAAAATCACCTCAGTGCAATCACCCTAAAAACAGTGCAAACTAATGGAAGAAAACTCTATCTAACAGCGATGTATAACTAATGCTAGTATAACAGTATAAGTGACTCAGTGCTGCGCAGTACTAAATCTTCCGATGATAAATTCTCATGTGCTGTGCAATATCACATAACATCATATAATAAACTGAATTAGGTGGACATGCGTGTATCCTATGTGTTTATGTCCAAACATAGAATATGCATAGAATGTATGCGTCTATGTCATCACAATATATCTGGAACAATACTCAAGCTAAAACTTATAATAAAGTATATTGTGGACATGCGTGTATCCTATGTGTTTATGTCAAACACCATATATAGAATGTATGCGTTTATGTCATCACACCAATATATCTGGAACAATACTCAAGCTAAAACTTATAATAAAGTATATTGGTGGACATGCGTGTATTATATGTGTATATACAAAAACATAGAATCGTGCATAAAATATATGTTTTAACTCATTACTGATATATCTGAAACAAGCCACACCCATAATTACAAAACATTAAAAAAAACATAAACTAGATCTTATATAAAGTACCCCACTACAAGGGACAGGCGTGTACCATATGTGATCTATGTCAAAAAAGAATTATGCTTAAACTGTATGTGGATTTTGTCTCATCACTATATATCTAAACAGCCAACCCATAACTTCAAAACAAAAAAAAACATGTAATATATATTTATTGATTGCAAAGTATTTTTGGACATAGAGTGATTCTTTATGAAAATGACTTATGCTGTTAAAACATCCTTTGAATCATGCATCCATTGTAGATTAATTTCAGAGGACCATCACTCACCATATATGTGAAACAAGCCCCATGTGAGGCCCATTTTTTGTTTTGGACAAGTCACAAAAAATTGATTAGGGAGACAAAAGTCTTTGGTTTTGAAAGAATCCTCTATGTCATAAATCCTCTTTAAAACAATCAAATATGTAATGATCAATATTCAGATGCTCTTCGTTTTCAAATTATTTGACCTGAGGAAGCCATGAATGGCTGCCAAGATCTGTGATCATGGGGGGGGGGGGGCAATAATAATGACTTAGGAGTATAGAAATCTGGACCTGCTCAGGGGGCGGGGGGCTGTGACCAGACAGAGAAATGAATACAGGAACAGAAAAATGTGGTCATATACAGAATATTATTCAGACTAAAGCAGACATGTATCACCTCGGGATACACCACTAGGACAACACTCTGATTATGATGTCTTCCTAACAGGTGTTCCTCTATATGGTGACATCATTTACCAAAACGACCCGGCACACATTTCCATCGCAAAATATGAGATTGTATAGCAATTATTGAATGACCTATCAGTCCCTTCCATGGACATGGAGAGCTCTGACTTCTCCATACAGATCTGTTTCCTCTGTTACAATATGGGACTTTTCTTGGATTTTTGCCCCCTGGTCATTTCCATTCAGCGGTCAGTTTCTACCAGACAGAATACTGCTAAGGAGGGGGAGGGGGCGATTGTTTCTTCCAATATGAAGGTTTTAGTGTATTTCTGAGGTGGGAAGCTAGATCATCCGCTTGTCCTGATTGATTATTCCTCTGTTAGGTTAGATTGTAAGCTCCATGAGCAAGGTCCTCCTATTCCTTGTGTACTGAAATGTATTGTAATTGTACTGTCCCCCTTTCTATTGTAAAGTGCTATGCAAACTGTTGGCGCTATATAAATCCTGAATAATAATAATGTTATTTACATGTAATCTATAGTGTATTTTTAGTGACTGTGTATGAATTGTAATAAATGTAAAAAACTGGATATGACATTACTGACCGGTCATTTTTTAATATTCCAGGGTGTTCACATATATTTAATTCTGTCTAATTCTCATACACAACTTCTGAGGTGTAACATCTCCCCTCTCACTTAGGGGTCTATTTTTTAAAACAAATGTTGTATGAATGTGACAAACATTGGACCATCCTTGCTGAATTCTAGATATAATGTATTAATACAGTGACTTCTTATTACTGTAAGCTCTAAGATCTAGTGGCCATAATTGTTTCAGAAAATAAACTGCATTATGGCCACTAGATGGAGCTGACAATCATAGGAAAACACTGTATTAGGAAAAATATGGCAAGAATTTGGATAGACCAATGCTTGTCACAGCTGTCCACTGATTTTTGTTCTATAATTAGACCCCTTAATTAGGTCAGGGGTCTCCAAAACTGTGGCCAGAGGGAGTAGAAAAAGTCCTGGTGTCAGTGGCAGTAAAACATGCCCCATGACTGGTGTCAGTGGGAGGAATAGTGCCCCATCATTGGTGTCAGTGGGAGGAATAGTGCCCCATCCTTGGTATCAACAGGAGGAATAGTGCCCCATCATTGGTATCAGCGGTAGGAATAGTGCCCCATCATTGGTATCAGCGGGAGGAATAGTACCCCATCATTGGTGTCAGTGGGAGGAATCGCGCCCCATCATTGGTATCAGCGGGAGGAATAGTACGCCATCATTGGTGTCAGCGGGAGGAATAGTGCCCCATCATTGGTGTCAGTGGGAGGAATCGCGCCCCATCATTGGTATCAGCGGGAGGAATAGTACCCTATCATTGGTATCAGTGGTAAGAATAGTGCCCCCATCATTGGTATCAGTGGTAAGAATAGTGCCCCATCATTAGTATCAGTGGTAGGAATAGTTCCCCATCATTGGTATCAGTGGTAAGAGTAGTGCCCATCAGTGGTATCAATGGGAGGAATCGTGCCCCATCATTGGGTGTCAGTGGGAGGAATAGTGCCCCATCATTGGTATCAACAGGAGGAATAGTGCCCCATCATTGGTATCAGCGGGAGGAATAGTACCCCATCATTGGTGTCAGTGGGAGGAATCGCGCCCCATCATTGGTATCAGCGGGAGGAATAGTACGCCATCATTGGTGTCAGCGGGAGGAATAGTACCCCCATCATTGGTGTCAGTGGGAGGAATCGCGCCCCATCATTGGTATCAGCGGGAGGAATAGTACCCCATCATTGGTATCAGCGGGAGGAATAGTACCCCATCATTGGTGTCAGTGGGAGGAATCATGCCCCATCATTGGTATCAGCGGGAGGAATAGTACCCCATCATTGGTATCAGTGGTAAGAATAGTGCCCCATCATTGGTATCAGCGGTAGGAATAGTGCCCCATCATTGGTGTCAGTGGTAAGAGTAGTGCCCCATCATTGGTATCAATGGGAGGAATCATGCCCCATCATTGGTATCAGTGGTAAGAATAGTGCCCCATCATTGGTGTCAGTGGGAGGAATAGTTCTCCATTGTTGGTGTCAGTGACAGGAACTATGCCCCACTGTTGCTGACAATGAGGGGAATAATGCCCCAAAGGCCGGATAAAATTAAGCAAAAGGCCACATCTGGCCCTCGGGCCACAGTTTGGAGACCACTGGTTTAGGTGATCAGAGGTGAGTATAATGTTTTAGTGTGATCAGATGTAGCTGAGTCCCACTGGAGTGTTTCTAGCACAGATCACTGATCTGAGAATTCTCATTTCCATCTCCCCGGTATTTGCATACACAGTGTGTGGGGGGAACACCTCCCCTGTCACTCTCTCTATATATCTCATTGTACAGGAGACGTCTTCTAGTTTGGATCTGACCCTCCAGAAACATCAAGATGCTTTCTCCCAGTTATCTGCTGGCTGTCATCTTCATTTCTATTCAGGGTGAGAGATGAGGCTCCTTCCATCCTCCTCTGCACATACATCTATACATTGTACAATAAATACACACATAAGGATTGGTAGGAAAACAGACCTCCAGACATTTCATGTAAGTCATATTTTTTTCCTCTAGGATCCTATGGAGAGACCGTGATGACTCAGACTCCGGATCATATCTCTGCATCCCCAGGACAGGCAATAACCATCCATTGTAAATCCAGCACAGATATTGATGATGATATAATCTGGTATCAACAGAAAGAGGGACAACCTCCCAAACTTCTCATGTGGTATAATACAAATAGAGTGCCTGGCCTGCCAGACTGATTCAATGGAATTGGATATGGATATGATTTTACTCTTACAATTAATGGAATACATGAAGACGATGTAGCCAAATATCACTGTCAGCAAGATGACAATCGTCCATACACACAGTGATATAAAGCCGTACAAAAACCTCCTTCCTCTTCTCTGTTCACTCTGAATGTTCTGTAAGGATTACATTGCTGGGTGTTTATTGCTTTGGAGTACATGCTGTCTGCATTTTATATTTTGTTCCTCATCCTGAATCCAGCATTATAGATCATAGAGGTAAGAATACAGCCATAGTGAAAAAGTTCTGCAATTCTAACCCGTGTCATAATGTGTAGATAACCTTGTTCATTGTTAAATGTAAAATGCACCAGCACAGAAACCGCATGATCTTTTTGACCATGCGGTTTCCATGAGACTCTCGCAAGAGAAACTTGATGCGGCTGCAGGTGGTTTCAGGTGAGGGAACAGGTGCGATTCCTGCACCCACAACCAGCCCACAGCCTGCGGTGCTAGTGTGAACCTAGGGTAAAGCTCAACTCTGGGTAGAAAATCATAATTAATTCACATATTTTCCTCAATAGCCACAAAGGACATACAGTGGGGGAAAATAATTATTTGATCCCCTGCAGATTTTGTAAGTTTGCCCACTTGCAAAGAAATTAAGGATCTATAAATTTCATCATATGTGTATTTTAAATGATAGAGGCAGAATTTCAACTAAAAAATCCAGAAAAAATGCACGAAACAAATGTTATAAATTGCGGTGCAGTTTAGTGAGTAAAATAAGTATTTGATCCCCTACCAACCAACAATAATTCTGCCTCCCACAGACTGGCTATGTGTTCATGTGGTGCACAGATTAGGTCTCTTTCAGATTGACGTTTGCAATCAGGTCCACCTGTCAGTTTTTCAGGCGGACCTGTTCGGAACCTCCATTGAATCCTCTATGGAGCGGCGGGTGTAAATGTCCATTTACACCCACCGACATCCAATCCGATCTGCAAAAAAGGAATCTAATTGCCCTTCTGTCCATGGGGTAGGATGGAAACGGACAGGCGGTCTGTTTTCACTCGACCACCCATTAAAGAGAGCGAGCAGCTCTGTGTCTGCGCTGCAGTAGCAGCGCAGACACAGACATGTCATCTGCTTGCTCAGCGGCGATTAGCAGAGAGATCGCCCGTTGAGCAAGCAGATCCGCTAAACGGGTCCCCATCATGTGAAAGGACCCTTAAGCCAGCCATACATGGATCGAATTCCGAAAGAATTTTCTTTCAAAAATCTTTTCCAAGAATTTTAGTTTGAATTTCGCACCAGAAATGTGACCATCAAATTTGAGTGATCGGGCATGTTGGAAGTTTTTTGAAAAACAAACAAATTTCGAATCAATGATGGGAGAATTGTGTGGGAAATATAAACAAAAAAGAAATGAGCATGAGCTATGACCTGGAAAGAAGAGAAAATTCTTGGCCATGAAAATTCTTTTCTGTAGCAACATGAGGTGAAATTAAAGGCTTGGTTGGTTAAATTTTGAAATCAATGGTGGCACCATCAGATTACAAAATGCACGAAAATTGCAATTGTCTAAAGAAAATTTGTTCGGAATTTGACCCATGTATGGCCTGCATTAGTCCTGTCAATTTAAGAAGGTGCTCCTAATGACAACTCGTTATGTGTATAAAAGACACCTGTCCACAGAATCGCTTTCTTGGGCACCACCATGGGGAAGACCAAAGAGTTTTCAAAGGATGACAGGGACAAAATTGTAAGTTTTGTTATTCCAAGATTTCGAGGTATACTATTCCTGCTTTTTGTGTTTGGGTTGGATGGAAGTGGATCCATCAGAATCTTCTGATCACAACGAATTAATCTGAAATTAATTTTGTTCCATTTTTTCTTTTGGATCCATTTCATTTTTATTTTGCATTAAAATTTTTCACTATTATAAAAAAAAAATCAGCTCATTCATTTTCTCTTTGTGGGTTGGAATGGCAGTGCAGAAGTAATCTCCTGAAATAACAAATTAACAAGTTAACCTCCCAGGCGGTATTCCCGAGTGTAGCTCGAGGTTAACTTTCAGTACCAAAAGCAGTAACCCTGAGCTACACTCGGGAATACACTGCAGCGTTGCTCCGGGATCCCTGTTTCACTTACCTTGTCCTGCGCTCCTGCGATGTCCTCCCCTGCAGCGTCCCCGGCCATCTCCTCCGGCTGATGCCGGCATCCGTCTTCCGGGTTCCGTTCCCTGTGAGATTCAGGAAGTACAAAACGTACAGGGGCCGCAACCGGCGGGAAATTCAAACATTTTAAAAGTGACATTCACTAAATACACTAAAATCACATAGTATAACATTCCTGTATCAAACCATTTCACATACATTTTGTCCCGAGTGCTTTGTCCTGTCCCCTGTCTGCATTTTTACTGTTCTTTCTGCCTGGAAACTGAGAAACGTCCATGGCGTCCAAAAAAGTGTCCCTTTAGGTCAAAGCAGTTTTAGACCGGCTAGAGAACAGCAATAGTAAATCAGAACCACTTGCAGAATTGAGTGATAATGATTCGTGGGGGAAATTCGTCATCAGAGACTGAAAACAATTTTGTGACTAAGATCAGTGATGTGCAAACTTGGCGCTATATTTCAAATTTCTGTGTTTTTGGTTTGATTACATTATTGAATTACATTTATTATTATTATATTATTATTTTTTATGATTATTTATTATATTATAATTTATGATTTCGTGTTTCACATTTTATCGTACCCGGGATGTTTACTAGACTCTTGTTCGGACAGATTTCAGAGAGTTATTCCTAAAAATTACAGGCCCAACAATAAAAAAACAACATATTTCCATGCAAAAAATGTACCACTTGAGCACAGAAATACTGACATAATCATACCGCTAGGGAGGTTAAAATGAATCTAGCCAAACTTTTTGTTCTGCACATATCTACTAATAAACACTTCTCTGGACCTTCATCTCCATTCTCATTATTGCTCTCCAATTGTGGCCAAACTAATCGACCTTACAGGTATGCATAAAAAAGTTGAACATTTCCTTTGCACTGAACAATTTTCTATTCATGGAATATGCCTGTACACTGTACTAGTGTTTATGTGATTTCCAATGTATAACTGAGTACAGCCATGCATAACCATTATTGTCTATGGGCATCTGTATGCAGAGCATGGGATTCCTGGGCAGAGGAAATAAGCTGGAATTTACATTGAACAGTCTCAGGTTGTCCATTTACAAGAGCCTTTAACCTGTGTTGTAATGTACATCTTCCTCGTGTATCATACCAGCTACAAATGTAAAAACATACTTTCATGTAAAACCCAGTTATGAGACTTTGTCATATGTCAATAAAACTGAACATATCTTTGCAACTACTTAGGAATACACTTATACAAAAACTGCTTAGTTTCCGGTACATGTTGCGAATGGGGAAATAACATTTGACTTGTAGAGGAGATAGAAGGAGAACATTTGTTTTTGCCCCATTTGCACAGAACAAATGTTTCAGTGGTTTTGCTGGACAAATGACTATACAAATATTTTTTATAAATACACCCCTTAGTGTATCCTTGTAAACCATACACTGGGCCCAAAATAGTAAAAAAAATATATATTTTTAACTGTGAGTGGGTGGTGCGGCTGCACTGGATCATATACATGTACAGTACATGATTCAGCTCTTCTGGGCATAGGGCACATGCACACAGGCCCCTCCCCTCCCCCACACCATCTGTACTGTGATTCGCTATAGCACAAGTTTGACAGCAGGTCCTGGCCATTGATTTATGTGTCCAATCACAGCACAAAGCCCTGTGTTTGCTAACAACACAGAGCTCTGTACAGAGAGCAACGATGTGGATGTTTATTCTCCCTGCAAAGCAGGGAAAAAAACAGCCACATCTATTAGTAAAAGCAGCAAATATTAGACATTACACATTGTCAGATACACAGTTAACCCCTTGATCCTCCCTAGTTTGACAGCAGGTCCTGGCCAATGATTTATGACCAGGACATGCTGATTGGATGTGTCCAATCACAGCACAGAGCTCTGTGTTTGCTAACAACACAGGGCTCTGTACACAGAGCAATGATGTGGATTTTTATTCTCCCTGCAAAGCAGGGAAAAAAAACAGCCACATCTATTAGTAAAAGCATCAAATATTACAAGCATTACACATTGTTAGGCACATAGTTAACCCCTTGATCGCCCCTAGATGTTAACCCCTTCCAATCCAGTGTCATTAGTACAGTATTAGCACTGATTGCTGTATCACTGTGATTCTCCTTGGGTTGGTAACTGTTGTCTTGCCAACATTTAAAAGGCATCCGGTTGGACGAGATATAATTTCAATATATATTCAGTTATGTACTATAGCCAGGGCTTTTTTTCTCAGAGAATAGGTGCAGGTACTCCCCTCTTCCAAGTCACCCCTTGTCTTCTTTCCTTACCCATCTCCCACTATTGCCTCTTTTAGGGAATGCAAAACAGGCAATGCTAAGTAATTTTGATGGAATGTGTTAATGATAACAAGAAAGGCAGCAAAACAATCTCCTGCAGCCATCACCAATAGACCCCCCCAGTGAAAACAGATGCACCCCAAGCAACAAAATATCCCCCCAACAATAGACAGACCCCCTGCCAGTGGCAAAAGATCTCCCAGCAGCCAGCATCAGTAGTATGACCCTCTAGCACCAAGCAAAAATAGACATTCCCTCAACAGTAGATCCCTTTCAGCAACAATTAACCCACCAGCAACGATTAGAACCCCCCCACATAAATAGATCCCCTCAGTGGCAAAAGAGCACCTAGCAGCCACCATTAATATACCCTCCAGCACTCCTTGTCATTACATACATTAAGTGCTGGAGGTGCTGGAACTGCATTACCTTGCGATCCAGCTGAAAAAAAGCCCTGACTATAGCTATGTTCTATATTAATAGATGGATATATCTGAGTCTTAAATCTCTGTAATGGGTTTGCTCCTATGTATAACTATTTATTTTGTACCATGTTAATGTATGTTTTGCTAAAATATGCAACTGTTTCCCCTCCGCTTTTTCCTTTGTAGCCTCTAGTTGGCGCTGCTTTCCTTTCTTCCCTTAGCGAGGGACCTTTGTATATCTTGGGGGTGCGGGTGCCCACCCAGCAAGCACACTCCGCCAGTTGGGCTGGCTCTCGGGTGGCGTCTTTGGTGGATGGTGGAAGGATGGGGTTTCCTGCAGAGTTTGATGAGTGACGGGTTTTTGGGTGCGTGATGTCACTCCGCAAGGCAGACGTGCTGACGTTAGCACAGACTCAGGGGACCTATGCATCAGATGCCATTTTGTTTTTCCTCACACCTACTTTTTAGACTCAGGTGTCTGTGACTAGGGAGGTAATTTCAACATACTTAAAGCAAAGCTCCACCCAAGAGGGGAAGTTCCACTTTAAGGCCTCATCCGCCGCTCCCCTTAAGGATTGGCACCCTCAGAGAGTGGAGGGGGAGCTGGTACCCAGTTTTGAGATTTTGACATGTGCCCACTCCCACTTCCACTGCGATTACCTAGGCAATCAGAAGCTGAAGTTCTCCCCCCCCCCCCCCCCACAGTCTTCTGGGGACATGTGACAGGTCCCTAGAGGACTGTGGACCATCCACAATGTGTTGGCATTGCCGCTTGCTCATACGCTGTGGGCACCCAGCTGCGACAATTTTGGTTTCACGTAAGATGCCGAACCAGGGACAAAGATAGCTGGTGCACCCAGTTGCAGTGAGGACAGCGCTGAATCCTAAGACACGGTGAGTAGGTGTCTGCTTTGTTTTTTTTGTACCTGCTGACTTTGATTTTTTTCATGAGAGAATGGGGCTCCACTTTAGTCTGCACACTTAAGCAGGATGCTATGCGCGTGACCGCCACTCATAAGTTTCCTGGACTGTGATCTATTTTCTCTATCTGCTGCCTTAGGTAAGATTTGGGAGTCATTTGTAGCATTTGTTAGAATTTTTTTTTTGGCTTGGACATTTTGGGGCTGATTTTTGATCCCTTAGTCATTTGTTTTCTGCTGTTTCTATGTTTCTTCTTATGTCAGTTAGACTACATAGAGTTTTTTGCATATCGGAGCATGTAGAGTTAGAACTGTTTCTTCATATTTTTACTTGGGTGGTAGTTTGGGCTGCTCTGTTTTACGTCATTGTGTTTAGCTTCAGCAGTAAGACTGTTTTATAAGGTGTTTATCATAGCATGAGGACCTCTAGTCTTAGCTCCAGAATGGTGACTGAGTATGTATTAATACTAGGACTACTTCTGATGTCTGTTTTAGTTTACTATACTATTGATATGTTTTTCACTTTCTAGGCAATATGAAACGGTCTCCTGGAGTCTCTGATTATACTGAAGTCCCATATTTATTTTCCATAGCCCTTTATATATTACGCGTAGAAACTGTGTTTATTGACAATTTTTATGGTATCTTGATATCAGTAGATCACATATATTATATATTCTTTACTTTCCCTTTCAGAATCAACATTTTTTTTTATGGGACACTATACTACAAAATATTCCCACAAATGCAGACCATTGATTGCAAACAAAGATCTGTTAATTTGTTAATTTGCACACACAAAAAGTATTTTTCCTAACAAATTCATTCAAGACCTTCTTGCAAATTATGAATACACCCCAATGAAAGTCTTAGGAGCAAAGCTAAATTTTAGAAAACAAAATCGTAAATAGCCGCTTTCCCGTCCGCCCTATAGCAGAAGTACTGCACGGCATCACGTACATATAGGTGATTTTTAATTTCTGGGTAGGAGGCGCTGCGCGCGCCTACCCGCGCCGCCATTCGCGGCCTTGAGTGTCAATCACACGGGTCCTGGTCAGTGATTACTCGCTGGCGCCCGGTGATTGCCGAGCATTTTTCTGACAGGGTGGAAAACTGTTTGTAAACAAAACAGTTCTCTCCCCTGTAAGCTCCTGCACAGTGCTTTGCATGACTGCGCAATTGCCAGTTAAAGTAGTGCAGTGATGAATAGCAAAAATTGCCCTGGTCATAAAGAAGGTAAAACTTTGCATAGCTCAGGTGGTTAATGTAGCCCATATATTTTGTTCTGTTACCATGACCCACCACCAAAGAACAAGCCAAAATTAATTCTTCTGCTCCTGATGCTTACAATGATACCATATATGCATGCCTCATTTATAGGTTGTACCAAAAGCTGAGCCCAGAAACAATAGTGCACTGGTACACCTACAGTCCATGGCCGAAAAAATTGTTGGCACCCTTGATATTTCTCCAGGAAATCATGTATTTTCTCACGAAACGTATTGCATTAACACATGTTTTGCTATACACATGTTTATTCCCTTTGTGTGTATTGGGAC